AAGATGTGCATAAGTGAGAGGAAAAATTATCTGAACTTATCTTTGCTTATTTAAATTAATTAATATAATGATTCAAATAACTATTAAGTAACAATTTCTTTGCATGTATGAAGAAGATAAATGCAGCAGCCAACAGTTAAGCAAAACAGACAAAAATTTTGCTTGTTTTTATTAGCCCAAGACTGGCTCTTGAGCAAGACATCTTGAAGAATGTTATGTTTCATCCTTGTGGTGAGCACCTATATTTCTAACAGAGAAAACTGGCAATTGCTCCTATATAGACTATTCACTTTATTTTCAGAGTGTAGAATGTGTAAGTATTTAGATACTTACTGAGGTAGAGCAAACAACTATTTTTCTTTTTAGTGGCAATTAGTTCTGTAGTTTAAGGCTGTCCTTTCTATTTTAAGGTTGTGGTTCTCAGAAACACAACAACAACAACAAAAAACACTGTTCTATTTGTAGTTTTATATTTAATAATAGGTCAAAGCCTCTGGGGTTTCACAGTTGAATGAGTTACATCCTGGGGAATCCTGTGTACTGAGAAAGCCAGATTAATTAACATAATCAAACATGTCTCTGTAAAACCAGGATCTAAAACAACAGTGATGTCATATCCCATCATAACACCTTCTTAAAATGTTGGAATGTACAAACTGGCAATACAAGTGTGGTAAAGACTGCACACAAGAACTGTATACCTTACCATTATGATGTATTTCTCTTTCAGTGTTGCCACTTCAGAAGCAATTCAATGTTTATAAGGTCGATTTATCACTTTTCTAAGAATGTAACTACCTTTAACTTTTTAGCTGAATATGTCATGACAAAACATTGTGGTTTTATAGAGTCATGTTTTAACACTGCAACCATCATGTGGTTTGAGCTACTGAATCACAAGACTCATCAAATTTTACCCAGTGGCTTCTGGATCAAATCCAGAACTTACAGTTGACCTGGATTTAAAGACCTTAAATAGTGATCAGCTCTGCTCCCTTTTTAGCTGTTTCAAGCTTTTATTTTCTCCAAAGTAATATTTCTTAAATTATTATTCTGAATTCATAGTGTCAGTTTCAAGTCTTGCTAATTTGCCATCTCTGCTTGCTTAAAGAATTACCTTCACCTCACAATCTTTCATACAGGTGTATAAAGTGCATCTCAACCTTTCTGATTTAAACAGATTGAACTGCTTTAATTTTATGTAAGACATCTATTCCAAATTGTAGTATTCTTTTAGCTCTTTTCAGAAACCTTTCGAGTTTGTTAGCATCCTTCTTACAGAATGATTATTTAAACGTTATGAACTATAACATATTCCAGGAATGGACATAATCCAATGATAATAACAATTTCTGATGAATACTGCTACAACTAATTTGTCTTAACATATTTTCTACAATGACTTTGTTGCACCAAAAAAGTACATTCAGTAATCGCTCAATCTATATCTGCACATTAACTTCTCGGTATGATTACTGTTGAATAGCTGCATGATCTTGTATTCAGTTGTATAAATTGCATGTTATTAAAGCAAGTTATTTTACAAAATTGACCAATGTTTTTTTCTTGTTAGATCCAAACACAGAAAATTTTTCAAGTATCCCCACTTTCTAGGCAAAAAAAAAAAAAAACCAAAACAAAATAAAAATAAAACAAACAAAAACAACAACAACAAAAAACCCCACCACCACCACCAAATGATCTGCTGTAATGATACACATCAGGGTTGTTTACATCCAGCAACATTAAATCATCACTGACTTCTAGGCTACTGTTTCTGAAGAAATCTCAAGCTTATAAATACAAATGTTTTTCTTTTAAACATACCTAAATACTTTGCACTAGAGAAAGAGTAGCCACTATACATGTTGCTGATTGTGAAGAGAATCACAGGTTGATGTGAACTAACATATTTTGGTAATAACTTTTCATTTTGACGTACTACTGTTTTCCATTCATAAAAAATGTACTTAATTAACTTCCAGTGCTACTGAAAGTGAATTACAGAGCTCGGTTTTATAAATATATGGCACATATGCACCAGATAAATTGTTGTGAATGAACAACAATATTTTATGACGTTGTTAACCAGATATATGAGGCAGCTAGAAATAAATAATATTAGCATTGGAGATAGGGTAATATCATGGTCACTCTATTTTTAAAATGAGTGTTCAAATCTTTCGATATTCCACATCTAACAGAAGTATCTAGAAATACCATTACAATCTTCTAGATTAGACATAGCCATGTATTCTGCTTTGTATAATAGTAGTCAAATTTTCCAGTAGTAATATGGAAGGAATGAAAAGATGGTCTTTAAAACAATAGTGAGTTAAAACACTTAAAACAATCAGGTAATATTTTATCAAAGCTTATGATTAAATACAGAATATGCTACTAGATTCACTAATCTCACTGAAGTCAACAGTATGCACTTGAGTGTTTTGTTGAATTGGAACTTCTAATAAGTTATTGGAGAACTGTTTGAATACACGGAAGTGAGAATTTTATTATTCAGCACTACTTATATGGTAATTTTCTAAAGTTTGAAGACCATATTTGTATTTTGTAGAACAAAATGATGCAACAGAAAAGTTGCTACTTATAGCACAAGCATGTGTTTTTCCCACAGAGATTTCAAGAAGCTTGAACCTGACATATCTGAAGGATGGCCTGTATTTATAATTCATAGAACTGCTCTTGTTGGAGAACTGGAGAATTCATGTGGGTAGCATGAACTACTTGCCTCTTGCCTCAGTGCAAATGACTGAAATGTAAAATCAATTCACTGTTGAAGTACACAATGCACAAACAGCCTTGAGGAACAACCTCGCTAAATACCTATCAAAAGGGAAAGAAAAGAGTCAACTGTACAGAACACAAAGTACTCTACACTGATTCTGTAGAGTGCATACTTTGACAAGATGTCTTTGAGCAAGTAGAGGCATTCTTTATTTTGATCACCACTGTTAAGGGTTTGAACAGCTTCTCTTCATGACTGCCATTGTCATCAATGCCAGAGTAAGACCAGGAACAAAAAGAAAAACTTTTTGCAAAGTGGATCTAGAAACTTAGAGTATTGAATACAAAGAGTATGTAACCACTACTTTAAAAAAAGAAAAAGCTCCGGGAACAAAGGAAAATTGATTAGAGAAATTCTGTTATCTTCCTTAGCCATACACTTGATTTGTATCAACAAAGAAAGCCAAACTAAATCTAAAAAGGAAGGAAGAGCTATAATTTAATGATGTCTGCTTGAATAGCTTTGAAGAAGGAAAACTAAGGATATAGGGAAAATAGAAAACCTAAATTAAAATCTGAACTGAAAACTACTTTAAGGATTTTTTTCTGAAGCAGAAGAGACAATATTCGTCTCTAAAGATTTCTGATGAAAAATGTCTGTATTTAGCATACATTCTAACCTTAGATAAAAGGAATGCAAATCCCCCACCCCAAGCAAACAAACAAACAAACAAAATACCCACTCTGTTTCTTACTTTACTTCATGACCTTTAGTCCATCTTTTTATCTGTTTTTTTTTTTCCTATTCTATGTAAAAATATTGCTCTACATTTCACTTTGTATTTCCATTTTCTGTAATGAGTTTATTATATTTCCATCAGATTTCAGTTTCTTCTACCCTACTTCTTGTGTCTAATCTGGCTGAACCTTTGATTTTTTTCTACATTACCTCCCTCCTTCAGCACTTGAGCTTCCTGCAGCTTTCTCATGCTGTAAGTAAAACTCTGGCCTGAGACAATCATGTGGTTGCCAATGAATCTGTGTAGGTAGTAGAGCTGCACAAGTAGTTGGGCTGCTGTGTAGTTACTAATCAGTGACTACAGGAAAAATCTAGCCAGTGGATTACATTTAGGCAGACAGAGAGATTATGTCCAACTACATACATTTCACATGTGCAGAGAGCTGTCCCTAAACTGCTCCCAGATTTCTCCTTCCACTGGTTCTTCAATGTTATGTCTAGGTCTTCAAAGGCTCCTTATTAAAAAACCTCTCAGAGTATTCCCAATCTGCACTCTCAAGCATACTTTCCTTATCTGTCCCCCTACAAGTATAGCCTTCCTTATACATTTTTTATCTTCACTCATGGACAAACCATACAGATTTTCTAATATTTATCAGTATCAGCTTATAAATCTTTATTCTTTTCTAACGCAAGCAGCTCCTGGCTTTAAAAATTGAATTTGTTTGGATTTGACTATTAGACTGCTATATGTTCTATTTTTACTAATGATTGGAATAGGATAATACTTTTCTGAAGTCCACTGGCACTGCAGTTGCAAAATAGAAGAGTCTGAAATACGACAGGCTTTCCCCCATTAATTTCATTAAAAAAAGCATATCAACAGCTCAGCAGGGAAAGCAGAGTACCCACCACACACACACCATTCCCCAACCCTTTCACGGACCCAAGGCTCTGTGAATACCCCCAGCTCCCGCGTACAGGCATCAACCCCACAACCCACAGGAGGGAGCGCAATGGGGCAGGGGCTGTTCCGAGCACAGTCCGCAGCCCCAGCCTACAGTGAGGCCATCTCCCCTTCCAGGCAGACCCCGCGGGGTTCCCTCCCCGCCGCCGTGCCCGCTCCTTCCCAGTTGGCTTCCACGGAGGCGGCGCGCTCGGAGGGGGGGAAGACGAGGGCCGGCCCCCACCCCGCTCCCTCCCGCCCCACCGCCGCCGGGTTCGCGGGGCCCCACGCACCCAGGATGCGGCCGGCGGCGGGGCGCCGGCTGTTGGCAGGCGCCGGGGGCAGGCGGACGGGGAGGTGGGCTCCCGACGCCGCCGCGGTTCGGCGCCACCGCCGCTCCTGGGATTAGGCTCCTGCGCGGCTGCCATGCGGAGCGGCGAGGACGGAGCGGCGGGGCACAGCGGGAGGGCGCGGGGCGCCGCCGGGCGCTAGACGGGCGGCAGGCGCGGGGCCGCCGGAGCTCTCCAGGGTCCCGGAGCGCCGCCCGCCGCGGCCGATCTCGCCGCGTCGATGCCGCGGACACGGGCGCTCCAGGGCTCCTCGGCGGTTCCGAGCAGCATGGCACGGCTGAGGTACCTCCGCGCCGCTGTCTCGGGCTTCTATTTGTGGGAAGCTGCGGTGCTGCTCAGGTGAGCGTCTTTCTGTGGGTCGCTTTTCTCTCGCGGTGGAATGCTTGTCGCTGTCTCTCTTCACCACTACTAGCGGCAGCAGCTGCACTCTGGGCACGGGAACTACGTGCATGGGGTCTGTGTCTCGCGAATAGTATTGCGCTGCATTGAATTTGATTAGCGTTGGCAAAAACAAGGGCTCCGTATTTCCTTTGCCTGTTCACAGGTAGGGTCTCCCTGTTTTGCCCAGGAATTTTATCACTGTGTTTAGCAGGAACTGTAGCGCTATCGATTCTGAAAATTCTTCGCGTGCAAATTGTCCATGTATAAAAGTTACAGAAGGTAATCAGGCATGAAAACATATAGATGTGATCCATTCCTACCAGTTCTTTTTCAGTAAGAAGAAATTCAGGGTCTGCTCTAGGTCAAAAAAGTCCTATCCAGAAATAGAAGTGAGAGCTGAGTGAACAGAGAATGTCATCTATGGAATTTCACTCAAGACGGAAAGCACTTGCTCTACTACACTGACAATCTTGGATGTGTATTACAAATGATAATAATCTATCCATTAATTATGAGCCATGTTGAAGGTTTAGGTTCATAAGGCTTTTCTCCACTTTCTGCTCAGCACGCCTTCACTTGCTGAACCAATGTTATGATATCAATGGACATTTTCTTTTGATACATAGTTCTAGAAGTGTGATGATATCAGGCTACAATAAATTTGAGTCCTCCATCTACTCAAAAGGTGAAGGGAATCTTAGCAAAATCCTACATACAAAGAAGCAGACATCTGTGTTATCGCATGTTCAGTGCTGATGGTGAGTTAACTATGCTTGTTATCAACAACCAGCTGTAGTGCTGGATAAAAATAAATAGATCATGGCATATCTTATGACACTGACAGATTATTTATACATACCACATTGTTATTTTACAAAAATAAATAGATAAACTTAAAATTGAAGAGGGGTTGTCCAAGGAGAATTTGTGAATTATAGATTTAAGGGGTTTATAACTACAAATTTAAATGTAGTGTGTAGTGACTCACAGGTACTCACAGGGTTATAGCCAATCTTTTGCCTCTTTGAAACTATCTTAATTATCTGTTTTGTGTGAACATGCATAATATAAACAGTTTCTAATATATTTGTGTGTGTGTGTGTGTGTGTGATTTTGCATAAAAGAAGAGATTTTAAGAAATTGGGTCACATGGGATGGGATTAATTGACATTGGAAGGGAACAGTAAATACATGTATATGATAGTTTAACTTTTCCAGTTGCACTGAAAATTTAATGTTCAGAGTAGATAAGCAAACATCTGCGTAGGCAAAGCAAACAGTACTGTTATCATAATTTTGTTTCAACATGCTCATAGTAAATATTTTTTCTCATTATATTATTTAAATACCATTCTACTGTAGAATGATTAGTCCTTAATCATACTAATCCTTAATGTATATTTTTTATTATTAATAATAAAATCTCTCTTTGTGAAGGTGAATAAGTAAGTTTTGGAAAGCATACAGGTATTTTTCATCATATAATCTTCGGCTAACAGTGACTTGTTTCAGAATGCATAGAGGCATCTTATTGTGCGTAAATTCAGATTATCTTCTTCAGTGTCCAAAAATCCTGAAGCATTAAAATAAGCTCATGCTCTTAAATTTTCTCATAATGAGAAATAATGTTCCTGTCCACACGGATTCATTCATATAGTGTCTGGGAAAGACTTCAGAAAACTGCTCAGTCTCTCAATACAGAGACTGCTGGTCATGCAATAGGATCTGAGAACACCAAGTCAGTTCATTAGATCCACAGGAGTCTCCTCCATGCCCAAGACAGATTGGTTTAAAATAGAAAAAGTGTATACGCGCATACGCGTGCGCGCACACACACACAAAGTTTAAAACATTAAAGGCTACAGCATTCCCAAGCTTTTAATTCCAGTTCTCTTCCAATTTAAGCCTTGTGAGCTGATAATGTACATCAGAGCAAATGGAACGGGGAACACTAGGACACCAATTCCACTATAAGGTACAGAATGCCCAGCCTTAGTGCCTACATAGAGCTGCCAGGAATTCCTAGGAAAAATCAAGTCTTAAGTTTTTGACTTCTTCAAACACTATGCAAAAAATAACATATCTTCTCTTACACTGTACAGCGCTGAAACATTTCTGCCCTTTGTTAACAAGCATTAAAAGCTGTATGAGACAGAACTCTAATGGAAACCTATGAGGAAAAAACTTTCAATTCTTGCCCAATAGATGTGAAGCTGAGTAAAGTGACTGTTTGAATACTATGCCTATGAAGCTAGTTGTTCAGTTCTATGTTCAGTATAGGTGAAAGGAAAAAGGATTTTCTCACTATGGGCATTCTACTCTAATGAGCAAGGTCTCTGGATTTGCTCGCTTTACAAGAGGAAACGGCAACAGATTTTTCTTTTTTGCCATAATTCATTTTTCATTTCATATTTAAAAGTTTTTCAGATTGGAGTGACTGAAACAAAATGTATATTGGCTTTTGTAATTATTAATTTGATTTCTGAAAGACATTGCAGAAAGATAAAAAGTAATTAATTGTAATTCATAATAGTTTTAGATTAATGACATACTTATCAATAATACAACAATATATTATATATAAGAAAAACAAGAATTTAAGCAGATAACACTCAATTATGTTTTCACTGTTACATATGAGAACTGGGAGAAGAACTATAATCAGACTACAAACAAACAAACAAAAAATTATTAATTAATGCCAGGCCAAGTGCAGTGCTACATTAAAATGTGGGTAGAGAGGTAAAAAAATAAGATGAGAAATTAAGGGAAAAAAGAATAATGGAGCCTAAGCAATAGCTGTAATTCACTACCAAACAAGGAAAATAAATATTTCTAAGACAGAGTTTGACATCTTAGTTACATCTAAGACTGAATATTCCTCTGAGTTTTCATTAAAGTAATACAGTAAACACAGATTCCTCTACATTTGCCTGGATTCCAAGGAGTCACGCTGAAAGCAAGGTGTTTGTAGAGTCACACAAAGGTCATATTTGGGAGCCAAGGAGGTTTACGACAGCTCTCCAACTTGCATGGGCTTAGAACTACACCGTCATGGACTTGCCAGGAATTTTTTCTTTAAGTTTTCTACTTTAAGACTACAGTATATGCATTTTGTCTATAGACTTGTAAATGGGGAAAATGGTATCAATAAAAACGTATGAAAATGCAAAATAGATTGCCTCTATGTTTTTTTAGATAACCATATTAGCAGAGACTAGGAATCATGCTTGGTTATGTTATTACCTCTTTTCTTGTTCTTCTCACTGCCCCATTGGCCTTTTGTTGAAAGAAATAGTATCATAGAGACAGCTAATTGTACTTCGAAGCCAGATTCTCGTTTAAAATAATCTCCATGGATCCTAACTCTGGGGCATGTCTGAGCTCATAGTTAACTGATTTTGAAATTATTCTTGCATTGCATTGCAAATTGATTTCAGATGAGTAGCTTTAAGAAGCAGAAGTCAATGTCTCTTAAGCTAGCATCAGTTCCTCTCTTATACAAATAATGAAAGAGACACAACACCAAAGAATAATTAAATCTGAGTTAGCATCATTAACATCTTAGAAAATAGTTTTCCTGATGCTCTAATGAGATTTCAGTAGTTTATTAAGATATTAAGTGTTGTATCTACTACAGTATTCAAGAAATAAAATCAGGATGTGAATAAAATAGCGCGTGGAAAAAAATAATGAGAGCACTGAGCCATAGGACCTTTCTTTAGCAGTCCTGACTCAATTTGAAAAGTTTCTGTGGAAGAGATCAGACTCCATATCCTAATGAAAACGACCTGATGCGTGTCAGAAAGCAGCAAGGGAAGGGAAGGTGAACAGTGAGTTCAGAATCACAGCAAGTCAGACAGAAACTGGCTCCTGTCAGTAAGGTTTGCAGTTCCACAGAACCAGCACTAGAACAGAGCAGATCCTGTCTACACAACACTTTGGATTACCAAGCCATGTCCACAATGATGAGGTAGGTTCAAGGTCAAGCCAAAAAGTCAGGTCAGCAAATGAGAACTAGGAAGGTAAAAGGCTTGGTGCAAGTGCACCCAGTTGGCCTGAGCAGAGACCAAGAGCTATTGCCCAGCAACCCTGATAGGAAAGGAAAGGGAAAGGGAGAGGGAAAGGGAAAAACAGAAAGAACAAAAAAGAAACAAACAGCTCCTGAGGTTTCTCACAGCTTTTATCAAATAGTTCTGATAAAACTGGGCTTCGGCATTATCAGAGCTGGCACTAAGCCCAGGTAGACAGACCCTTGGTAGGAAGGCAATGTACTCATGGCCCTTATAAAATGTCAGGAGGAGAGACCTGGTATTCCCTTGCAGGATAAACCTATAGGGAGGCATTGTACTTTCCAAAACTTGGACGAAGAAGGGTCTTATCTGTGAGCAAGAATATGGAATTCAAATTCTGTATATTTCAAATATGTAGGTGAAAACACTGAAGTCCCTTGGAACTGAATATGAGTTTTGACACTAATATGAATTTGATCAGCACTTTTACTACCTATTCTTAATTTCTATAAGAAAACAATTATTTTCCTAAATGATTACCATTTTTATAACATTAAGAAAGAAATGCATGCAGAGTTTTGAGGTATAACACAATTAGCTGTAAGAATATATAATTGAATAACAAAGCAATTTCAATTATGAACATGAGTCTTTCAATTCTTACTGTGCTACTGACATTTTCTTACTTTCCAGCCTCTCCTAACTCATTACAAGCCAAATGATGCTAACAACAACTGAAAGCTAGTAATATTTTGAGATGAGTGCTGTGCTGTGCTTCAGTGTGATGAAAAATGTAATAGCTCCTCCATCAGATTAGTCTTGTCCAGCTATCCTACTGTGACAATTACAGAAAATGAAAATTTTTATAAGATTAGAGCTTCTTATTTTAACAGATTTATAATACAAGCTTCAAATGACCTTACTGAGTATTATATAATAATACCT